CGGGGAGCGCGACCGCCCGGCCCCTGCCGCCCCGGGAGAGCGGCGGCTGCGGAGGGGGGAGAGCGGGAAAACGGGGTTGCTTTGTCAACACAGAAGAGAAACAGCAGCATAAAAAGAGGGGAAGACACGGCGGATAGCCGGGGTTCAGGTGCCCAGGAAGAACGGTGATGTGTAACAGGAGGACAAGAGAAGAGAGGAGCAGCAAAACTCTGTAGGTTTGGCTCCCGAAGATGCTGTTAGGCCTACGTATACTTTTTTTTTTTTTTTGTGCATTTGGTTACTGGTATTTTCTGAATGCCATGTCCTTTGGCCCAAATGCTAGACCTGTTGAGATTAAAACGTATCCAGGGAACCATGCTATCAGATCCCAGTGTGATCCAGTGCATACCTGACCTTTGATTCCTTTGAAACAATCCTGTCTTCACAAGATTTAAGACAAGTAAGTAGTCCCATTGAGAGCAATAAGATTTTAGAACAAGCCTGTGTAAGACAAGCAGAAAGCTTTTCATAAATCACAATAATTTAAGTAGTGTTTACTTGAATGAAGCTGCAATATGACAGTGGCAATGAAAAGCTGAAGACTGAGAACTGACTGAACAGGATTAAAAGAACAGGAAAGCCATCTTTCCTGAGTTTCCTTTGGGCCAGGAATTCTGTTCTTCCTGTGTCTACATGGCACCATTTTCTGTCTAAAAGTTTGATGACTATAATGTTTTTATGGTCTGTTGGTTTTCTGGGGGGTGGATTACCCCCTTAAGTTAACTCCTTAACTTGAGGCAAAAGCATCAGCCAGATCTCAGGTATGCAAGCAAAAATGCAGTGTAAATTTAAAGATACAGATGCACTCTTAAAGATCTCTGGCTTTATATTATCAGCAGAGCCACAGGCATAGGTATTGCTGCTGTACTCTATCTACACTCATTTTTCAGCACTTCTGTCATTAGTCTGACCTATATGTTTGTTTGTTATGTTTCAAGCAAACTGAAATAGCTTTTTTTGTGCATTCAGGTTACTAGTGATAATTTTAAGACCCAACACCTGAAAGCACGATCAATATTGCCCAGTGGGAAGTAACACTTAGAAGCATGTGGCTTCCTTTGAGCTACCCTCTCCTGTGCTACAGTGTTCAACATAAAAGCTGCTAAAGCCAATTCTAGATTTCTAGAAGTTTATTCTGATGTCTTTATGAACTTTTCTCCTCTATCAACACAGCTATGTTAGTTTGTTTTGCTAAAGGCTTTAATCAGACGTGAAAAACAGATGTGTAAAGGTAGTGTCATATATACAAAATTGTTTGTAAAACATATGTATACATGACCCGTCTTCTCTTCTAATTGCAGGTCACGTCCAGCTGGATAGCAGAGCTATATTGACCACCACAGGTAAAGTATAGTACATAGTTTTCATAATGTGGCAGTTAGTCTCCACCGGTAATAGAAGGAGCTGTGATTTTATAGCCCATAGAGATGTTTAAGCAAAAGGAAAAAATATTTTGGCCCAGCCATCTGCAAGTATTTAGTTCTGCACGCTCCCAAGATGGGCGTGTTCCCTGTTGTTCCCACAATGTTACCTTTATGTGCGTTCTGTTACTGGAGATACTTATGTCTATATAGTTTAGCAGAAGAAAAGGTATAAATCCTGCATCTTCTCAGTTGTCCTTAGCTATACATACTGTTACACTACCTGCTATGACTCATATGCTGCATCCAACCTCAGAGAATGCTCAGCTTTGCATTAGCAGCATTACTGAAAAAAAAGAAACACCAGTGTACTTTTAGATTATGTAAAATCGTAACTATTGAGTTAGAGACTCTTTAAATAAATACAGCCAGCTAGTTAGTTATATAAAATCTTGATTTCTGAATATGTCTATATAGATACAGATACACAGACAGATATAAAATACGCATGTCTTGACCACGTAAAATTCAGACTGTTGGAGTCAGAACTTTAAGAACAGCCTCCAAAAGCTGTGGGTGCAGACAAATGCAAATGAAGCTGTTCAGCTGCATGCCTACTCACCTCATGTGTGAATGAGCTTTTGGTTCATATTAACACCTAAACTTTAAGGCTGGATGCACAAGTTCAGATTGTTTCTTTTTAATGAATGATTTAGCGGCTAAATCACTTTTCGATCTCTCTAACAGATGGAAATCAGAACATCACAGAAGTAGATGCACTCGATACAAGGTAAAGTTCTGATGGCAATGACAGTGAGACCACCCATGGTACTGAGGTCAGTGCAGGGTTTTCTGATTTTTGTTAAGAATGTGACTGGATTATTCAACTCAACTCCACCCACTTACGGAACATGTTTCTAGTTTCAGCTACACCAGCTGCAGAATCACCCTTCTTATCCTGAAGGCATGCAGAAAGGACTCTTAGGAGTGGAGTCCTTTTATGTTAGGCAACGTGCAGAGACTGTGGTAAAACCACCCTCACAATCTAAGGAACAACTGGGCAGATTAAGTGATAGAGTGTTGCCCAGGAATATATTCCTCTAGAAGGAGGGTAAATGGACCACAGGATGGGGCTTCCATGAATTTTTCCTACTCTACCTTACAACATCATCTAGCCCTGGAAAAGGTAGACTACTTGCCTGATAACTTCCTCTGCCTCACCCACTCAGCGAACACAGCTGAGCAGAGGAAGAACTATTTAGGGAACCATCCTGTAATGGTCATTCGCAGGATCCAGGGACCTAACTGTCCAAAATCCCTACTAGCCCTATATCTAGCCAAATCCTAAGGAAGATAAATTGCCAAAATCCGAATAAACTCTGGAACCGGTACAGGTGAAATATCATTCATAATTACAGGGCCAAAGTTTATCACCTTTGCATTTTGTCATGTCAAGTACTTAAATTGGGGAGAGTATGATAAAGTACTCCGCTTAACTTTTCTTATTGGTTATCCAGCCAACATTGTAGAAACCGCTAGACTTTGAACAGTCATCCAGAATTCCTGCTCCCTGTTTGAATTCCGATGCAGACGTTACAAAAAGATGTTTTATTAAGGGGCTGCTTGCAATAAAGTGGAGAAGCAGAAATAGCTTATGGATAACTTTGGTCATCTGGTAGCGAAAAAAAAAGCATTTTGCTGATGAAACTGTGATCTTTAAGTAACGTCTACAGGCAAATATTCTATGCTACTTCTTCCACCAATTGCACCAAACCTGAACATTCCATAGCAGAAGAAAAGAAAATAACATGCCAAAAATGACAGCTCTGACTAGAGCCAGCCCTAGGGCAGCATGACCGGGACTGTCATTCTGTCCATCTATAGCAGTGGCCTTGTCTATTACCAGGGCTACTGCCAGAAGCGTTTTAGTTTCTGTTCCCTGCACCGATACTTCTGTCTGCAAAGGCAGTAAGACTGTCTGCTTTGTCTCTTGAAATACAGCCATGCCAACACTTGGAAACAACCTTTTGGGTGCAAGTATAGAGTCTGCTATCACAGACTTCTATGTTGTGTTTTGCTCATAAAACAACAAAATTGCTGAATGCTACTCCAAACACACAGGTGCTCCATACCTTTGTCGCCATGATAGTTTAAAGTCCTCTACTTAGAAGCTGGGTCGGTCATTTGTTCTGTCCTTCAGAACAAGTGTCCCTCAGCTTAGGACTTTGTTGGCTGTTTGCTAAAAACTTAGAGGCACAGTTGTATTGTCATAGCTTTCATTTTGTTAGGGTAAATAATACAAATTTGTTCTCCTTTTGCAAGATACACTATGCATGCCACCTCATCACCAGTTTATAGTCTATTGGTTTTGATGCAGCACTCAGTTTAGTTAGAAGAACTTGAAGCAAATCTCAGACAGCTACAATTCAAAATAAGTATATATGCACTATCCAGTTATGTTAACATAGTATTTAGCTAAACACATAACACAAAGAACTGGAGCCAGTCTAAAGGGCACCGTTATATGCCTTACCGTGTTACTAATGAGACAGCCTCCTGACAAGAGAAAATACAAATGCGTTGTAGAGAAACTGTTCAACCTACCCGATAGAGCCTAGTACACACCCAACACTTGTTTTGCTGAATTGCTTAACATGCCCAAGCTTTTCAAAAAGACCTAGCGATTTAGGCTCTTCCTAAAATATTGCACATTTTGAGGTCTTGTCTTCTGAAATTGGATCCTCAAAGTCTCTAGTCAATTAAAAAAATCTCAGCTAGCAAGGCTACAGGAAGGGAATTGAATTAGCCATTAACTCATTTATCAGCAATGTTTTCTGTCTCTGGCAACAGACAAATACTTGATCCTACAGTGCAATACAAAATGAACCATCAGAGAAGAGGAGTTGCGTTGATCTTCAATCACGAGCACTTTTTTTGGCATTTGAAGCTGCCAGACAGACGTGGGACTCTTGCAGACAGAAACAATCTGAAACGCAGGTAGGAAACTTGGTTTCTCTACTGAAGCTTAAAAAGCTAAACTTCAGAAATCACGGTCAAATAAGCAGTTGCCTAAATCTTATATTTAAGTACAGAACAAAAGACTTTGCAGACATCAGCACCTATGCAACCTTGTCAAAGAAAGCCATAATAAAAAAACTTCAAGGCCCAGTCTTTTGAGTTACAGAAACTGCTGGCACAAGTGCTATGATTTCAGTGTGTCCAGACCTCTCTCAGGAAAAACTCTTTGAAGTAACTTTACGTATTACACGTGCACCTGACAGCAGTTTGAGTTCAAAATCAAGTTCAGTAGTTTTTTTCATAAATAATACATAAACATGAATATTCTCTCATAGGGAAAGCAACTGCGTTGGTAGCAACTGACATATAATTTGAGCAAGATCTTTACTGATACTGATGTGTTTTAACAATAGTTTGACAGATCTTGGATTTGAAGTCAGACTTTTTGATGATCTGAAAGCAAAAGATGTGCTGCAGAAAATTTATGAAGGTAGGAGACTATATGTTGGTTATGTCTAACTATTTGTAGCAGAATTTCCAGATATCTTTTCTTCCATTCTCTCTGTTCATCTAACTTAAAATAATTTTTGTGCACAAGGGAGTTGTTTAACATTAGGACTTAAGGGTTAGACTTCAGATTATTTTATTGCAATGTAAGTGAAGCTTCTGTGGAGAGAACTAATGGAGTCGCTAAGAGCTGAAAGAAAGTACCTGCAGCTGGGAGAAGTTAATAACATTCTTTTTACTTGTAGTGGCCCTTATCTTCAGCCATGTCGAATCATTGCACCTTCAAATCTCTACAGTGTTACACTATCTAAAAATAGGGTTCATTTGAAAAAGGACTGATTGGAGATTAAATTAGATGATACAAATGTACAATGTTTTTTAAACCTGAAGATCGTTGTTTAGTCATCTAAGCACCACTTGACTATTTCAGCCTCTGAGGATGACCACAGCAATGCTGACTGCTTTGTGTGTGTGTTCCTGAGTCATGGTGAGAATGATCACGTTTATGCATATGATGCCCAAATCAAAATTGAGACAGTCACAGACATGTTCAGAGGAGACAAGTGCAAGAGTCTGGTAGGAAAACCGAAGATATTTATCATTCAGGTAAGATGTCTGTTTCTGAATTCAGTGGAGTCAACGCTGACCTATGTCTTCTTGTAACACAGAAGTCAGTTTTCCTGATACGGTCTCTCCACAACGGAAAGTTTTTGCACCTTTAGGGAAGAAGGTATGCAAAACTGTTCCTTCAAGGCATTTAAGACAAGGATTCTTCTCTTTTTAAAAACGTTTATGTACACAAGTGTTAATATTATGATTCTAGCTGTATTTAATAAGAAGTAATTTTATGAAGAGCAACCCAAATTAAGCCCATGTCAGATTGACTGTCAGTGTATATTTAATGGCATAGAAGACAGTATCATTTTTTGAGAAATTTGCGTACAGCCTTGGCTCAGTTCCTACTGTTCACTCCTCACAGCCCTAGGCTAGGCTATAGAAGGCTATCAAACCTCCTTACCTTCACTGTTTCCTTCCAGGCAAGTCCCTTTACTCGATCCTTACAGAAGTTGTTTTTTGTGGGGTTTTATTGTTATTGGTGATGTTTTTTCTGGTTTTCTTTATTTTTTTGTTTTGTTTCTTTTCTGTCCATGACCAATACTCGGCATCTCTGTAGAATTTAAAGAATCAGTTTAAGGTTTTATTGTCTCAGAAATACTGCTTGTGCTAAGTGGTCAAAGAAAGCCCACATGTAATCGCCTCTTTCACTCCTTGGTTCACAGGATAATGCAAGGCGGAAGGGACCTCAGGAGGTCTCTGGATCAGCCTCCTGTTCAAAGCACAGTCAGTTATGGGGTCAAACCAGGTTACACAGGGCTTTAACCCATCTTTATTCAGATTCCAATTAGCAAATTCAAATGAGAATCTGGCCTTCAGCAGATCGTAATTGTAGTAGTTTATAGAGTAATTCTAAGAATTACCTTTTTTTAAAAATGAAAGCTTCCTTAGGCACAAGGCCACTGCAAGAATCAGCACATTGCTAATTCACCTTTCATTAAGACTCACTCAGCTTTGATTTTTTTTTTTAATCAGGTGCCAAAGATTGAAAAATATTTACCTATTTCAATTTTTGGAAACATTTATAATATATACTCATCAAAAAGCAAATTAACTTAGTTCAATTCATCAACTGAGTTCTTTTACAGCACAATCAGCACAGCATTTACCTTTGGAAATCAGAGGAAACAGCATGGAGAGAACTTCATCACTGTAAACAAAATTTTCATGTTTCTGTCTTTAGTGATAGTTCTTAGGTAATGCTCCTTACCTACTTTGTATCTTTATGTGTGTTCTTACCTTCTTATCCTCCATGTGTAGCCTTTCTGCAACACTGACAATACTGGGCTCATTTACTGGCTTCTCACAAAAAAAACCCTCCCTCAACTAACACATTTGAGACTTAACTAAGAGCAGAAGTGTAACAGCGTATAACGATGGCCATGCCTCAGAGCATTTATTCCACGCTGCCTTGCCAAAAGGTCCGAGGGAGGTGATTCTTCCTCTCTCCTCAGCACTGGTGAGGCTGTATCTGCAGTACTGTGTCCAGTTCCGGGTTCCCCAGTACAAGAAAGATACGGACTTACTGGAGTGAGTCCTGCAAAGGGCCACAAAGATGATTAAGGGACCAGAGCATCTCTCGTATCAAGAGAGGCTGAGAAGAGATGGCTCGTGGGAATCTTGTCAATGTAATAAGCACCTGGTGGGAGGGAATAAAGAAGAGGGAGCGAGGCTCTTTTCAGTAGTGCCCAGTGACACGACAAGAGGCAACTGGCACTAATTAAAACAGATGAAATTCCATCTCAACACAGGAAAACACTTTTTTACTGTGTGGGTGGTCAAACACTGGAAGAGGTCACCCAGAGAGGTTGTGGAGTCTCCATCTATGAAGATACTCGGAAGCTGACTGGACATAGTCCTGGACAGCCTGCTCTAGCTTAACCCTGCTTGAGCCTGGGGGGTTGGACTAGGTGATCTCAAGAGGTCCCTTCCAATCTCAGTGATTCTGTAATCATCTCAGAGCACTCACTGGACTTCGTCACCTATATTTTAATTGATAGAGGAGTAAATAGGTCTCTATGAATCCAGACTCGTGGTAACGTGGAACACCTAACTGAAGTCCCCCCTGGTTAGTGTCAGAAGTATCATATTAACATAGGAGAGCCTGGCAGAGGTGAAAGCATAACAATACTTCTCACCAACAGGCATGTCGAGGTGATAAACATGACGATCCAGTTATTGCTCCGGATTCAACAGACGGTAGCGATGAATCCACTGTCAATGAGACTGAGGTGGATGCAGCTGGTGTCTATACCCTGCCTGCTGGTGCAGACTTCATCATGTGCTACTCTGTGGCGCAAGGTAGGTTCTAGTATTTTACATCTGATGTCTGATACTTCACTGTAACAAGCTTGAACACATCATTTTGCAGTCAAAATAATGAGTACTGTTCCAGGTCATCTGTTTTGCATGTCTGATAAGTGACATCTTGTCTGGGAAAGAGCCTCACATGTTAAGGGAAGTGAAAATAAACCACCAAGCTTGCAGTTAATTTGTCAAGCAGAAACATTCTCATCGTAATCTTGCTGCTGAGCTGTCTGCTGACAGCAAGCCTTCCCCTCTTATCCAGGATTGTAGGATTCTGGTGGCTTATAAATTTCCTTGCACTACGTGGCTGTCCTCTCCAGTCCTGCATGTATCTTGCCCTCAGTCCCATCGGCTCTCTTGTAAGTGCAGGTACAATCCTGTAAGCTGTCAGTCCCTGAACCACACACGCTCCTCTTGGCTGAGCACTCAAAAAAAAAAAAAAAGTGATCTCAAAGCCATTGCCCATCTACAGTTTCCAGTGAAATTAAATAACTGGTGACTTACACCCATTAGTAATCCCTTACGAATGCAGCTAGCGAGCAGCAACTCTCGTGAATATTTTTCAAATGGCATCACTACTTACATTTGGATATAATTTTATGTTCCTGTTCTACAATAGGTTACTTTTCTCATCGTGAAACCATAAATGGCTCCTGGTACATTCAAGATTTGTGTGAGGTACTTGGCAAGTACGGCTCTTCCTTGGAGTTCACAGAACTTCTTACTGTCGTTAACAGGAAAGTATCTCATCGCAGAGTGGATATATGTAGAGACATTAATGCTATAGGAAAAAAACAGATTCCCTGTTTTGCCTCAATGTTAACTAAAAAATTGTATTTTCATCCAAAATCTAAGTAGATTGTTATTGAACAATGACAACCATTAACTAATACTCACTGCAGAAGTGAAAAACACACCATCTTAGTTCAGGACACTAACATTCTACAAGATTGTTTGCAAAAGCAGTGGGCTCAAACGTTATAGTTTGTATATATAATAGTTTCTAAAATCTTAAAGCAATTTTAAAGCTAGTATTACAGCTCTGTTCTTCTCAGGGAATTTGGGAAAAGCTGACTGGTGCAAAACTATTAATAGGTGCTCAGATTTTCTTGAAATTGGGACTTTTGATTACTTTTTTTCTTAAAAAGTTTTTTTGCTTGATTGCCATCTAACTATGGCACATTTTACTATTTCCAAAACATTTCATATATTGCATTAGATTCACTTTTCTTGCTCCAAGAGTACAGTTTACAGGGAATATGTTTGTAGGGTATCTTTTTAAATCTGTGGACAGCAGTATCCACCTTCCACTTTTTGTGGATTTATAGCTTTTTAGACATTTTTTTATTTTCTCTCAACACTGAAAAGGAACTTAATTCCTTGAGTACAATTATAGCATTAATGTAGATAAAGGGCTTCTTTTTGCTTGCACATCATTCATGTTTGGGGCACAAGTAAAGCTTGCTGGCGCTTTGCATCCTCAGGAGAAAAGCAAGCAGTAGTGAAATGAGACGGCGTACAGCTTGCTTAGCGTGACTTTGGGCGAGCTCACCTTGTACACACCTCTAAAGCTAAAGGAAATCATTTCAAGGTTCCAGGCTTACTTACAGCTGCTGGACATCTCTAGGCAGCTCTGCAAAATACAACATATGCAAACCTGCATACATCAGGCCTTGGTGCTGGATCAGCCGCTTCCTCCCCTTGTCCCCAGAGGAGATCAGCCATACGCTGTCATGGTGTATATAAAAGCGATGGAGCGTTTGTCACCACAGGATGTTTGTCACCGTAGGATTGTTACTACTGCAGCATCAGTAATTTCAATGATACTTACTAGAAGCAAATGTTTCTTTTCTTATTTTTTACATTAATGGTACATACGCTTAACTCTGGGGGACAATGGGGAACTCAAGAAAAGTGTCTTAATCCACTTTCCTGGGTATAAGAGAATTGATTTACTGGCTCTGCTTTAGTTAAATCTTCCCATATACTATGTTCTGAGTCACAGATGTTAAATCTTACTATGGCTACCTTTTAAGTTTTGTATAAATCATGAACGTATAAATTTGAATGTTTTGATAAATTCTTTCAATAAAATGCAACAGTGAAACAGAAATGGTTTTATAGTAAATGAGTTTGATATATCTTACTTTCCCAGCAATATTTACTAAAAAAAAGCTTGCTTGTAATGCAAGTCTAGCCTCCCCCAATGGTGTTATATCAGAGTCAAACCACAGAGCTAGGGAGAGGAAAACAGTAATTTCAGGGGGAAAAAAATCCATAGTACTCAATGCAGATAATTGTTCTATGAGCTACTGCTGTGCTATAGTAAATAGTCCTAAAAAGACAGCCCTTGTTCTATAAAACATCCCTGTCATTTTACCAGCAGGCAGAGTGCCTCCATTTTACTAATAGAGATTTGACAAGTATCTTGAAAAACCTTGCTTCAGCAGCTTCCTTATAGTATTTAAAAACAAACCAACAAACAAACCCAAGCAGTCAAGTGACCAAGTCATTTTTATAGATATTTATTGCAACTTTCAAAACTATAGTGGTCAAAAATAGCGAGTTTCCATAGGGTAATTAAATGTTTGTATCAGCTTTGAAAGGGTAATTCTAATATATACAAAACCAAAGTCAGTCCTTGTCATTGATTTCCTGGATTGGAAGCCTCAGGTGCAGAGGTTGGCGCAGACGCCTCAGGGATTCTTCTGCCTGCCAGTGCAAGAGAGAGTGAGAGTTCATCCTTCTGCAGCCGCCCGTTCCTCCTCTTTCACACATCCAGCATCTTTCCTTTCTCAGACCGCATTGGTCTCACGCAAGAAACCAAACTGATCAAATGGAGGGCGCTGAACATCTACAGACCTGCTCAGGTCATTCAGCCACTCTCCAGAGAGAGGCGTGTGCCCTGCCCGTCCACCCGCTCACCCACACCCCGAAGTATTCTTTTCCTGAAATTCCAATTACAAAATTCATACTCAAAGGCTACTGAAAAAGCATCACACTCTAGCCTTACGCCAAACGCGGCTCATGAAATGACATGAAAATGTCAAGAAAATGAAAAGAACCACAGGTCTCAAACGAACATTAGGGGTAGTTTCAATTTTCTCTCAGGAGACGTTGAACACAGGGCCGGGGAGACGGAATGGGGGAGTAAGAACTGAGGAGTGGGATCTGCTACGTTTTTTCATGAAGATTACAAGGTTTCTCCCAGGCACCTACACCACCAGCTTTTACAGAATATGGGTGACCGGATGGAAATCGAAGCCTTTTACCTGAGGAACAGGATTAGGTTGTCAAATGCTGAACTCTGCAAGGCAGTTTCCCTCCAAGGAAGGGAAAAGACTGTTACCACAGCAGTGCAGCAAACACGCTGTCTCCGAAAGCAATACAGCTATTTTATTAAAATGGCTGAAAACGCAACATATTGGAGTATGCAAAAAATGGATGTGTAGGGCTGATAAACTGACTTGTTTTGAATTAAATTAATGAAGGTCTCCCTTTCTGATGACTTACTGAAGTAGTTTATACATCAATGGCAAACATTGCGTGGTTATTTAAACAGCTCAAACTGGCTGATCAGCAATACGCTCTTTGTTTTGAATGTAAGGAACAAACCTTGAGGTCAGTTTTCTGTTAGCTGAGAGGTTACTGAAAAAGCCTTAACCCAGAGGCTACCTCATTATTTAAGGACTGTATTTAAATACCTCTGCTAGGTCTTCTTTGAGCTTGTTATACCGTTCCACATTAAAATGCTGTTTTTTGGATTTCCGATAGAAGTAGTGGAGGAACTGCCGGTCTTTAGCGTCAGGGTAAATGTAGTCCTGGTGAAGAAAGCAGGGCACATATTTGGGGTTAGCAAGGAAACTGGGTAGAGGTCAGAAGATTATCGACACACACGAGCTTTCAATAGAAATGCAGTCTGTTTCAGGAAGATTTATCTAGTTCGACACACACATGTGTTCTGTTAAGAGGTTACATATGAGGTTATGCCCTTAGAGGTCATAAGGGCCTTTTAGACACGTGGTAGGAATCATTTCTATTGCATCTAAAGGAATTTTCAATCATAATAAAGACATAGCGTGATCTTCGTGACTGCAGCCGCCGGAGTCAACGGACTTCCAAGGAGTCAGGGAAAGTTCAACTACTACGTCTCAAAGACTTACTTGAAAGTCTCAAGCAATGGCGCCGGCAGCTGTTCAAAAAAGCCAAGCAGTAATCTCTTTATCTGCTCATATACAAAAAGCAG